TGTTTTGACCCCATCAACATTGTTTCTTTGACCAATCAAATCCTCGTACGAATTCCCTTCTTATAATTGCTACTTAATTAATCATTAATATTCTTTCTTATCGAGTACTTAACACATAATTGCTTACCTATTTCTTCTATTTTTTGCTGCGTTGCTATTCTTTTTCGCTAGCTTGAGTGATTTGTAGGTCATTAGTGTCGAGTTGGTAACGTGGACTTTGTGAGATTTAAGTGTGGGGGCATTAATTCTGGTTTGTGGGCTACATTCAACCCGCCAGTTTCGTTAAATGATGGATAGTTGAGTGGTGAGAAAAGTATTTTCCTTATCATATAGACATGTTTCGATAAATTTTATGATTATCTTGACAAAGAGATTTGACACTCATTAAATACTACTTGATTTTCTAACGACCACTTTTTAGAAAAGAAAAATGTACTGAAATGTTAGTAATTTCATTTTTTATAGAGAGAAGATGGGAATAGATCTTCGCCCATGATTGACATTATTTCTATAAAGAATGGAAAAGATATAGTCTAGCCTTAAATTTGATGATAATTAGAATTGGACCTTGGCTTGTGATTTTAATCATTTGAGGCCAAAACGACGTCGTACGTAAATGACAGCTAGAAACAAAAATTAAAATAAATGTGGTGGAGAAATTTATTTGAAAGTAATTATTAATGGTGTGTGTGAAAATTTGACCAAGAGTTGTTCAAATATGCTCTCCCATATTATTATTACTACTACTATTATTGTTATTATTATTTTGTCCAAACTTAAATGTTTTCAATTGCGATGCTGAACCAAAGGTCCAACATTTCTACCTGACCATAGAGTTTTTGACCAGTCAAAATTTAATTATACAATTACAATTTCCTTCTCCATGTTTTGTATTATTTATTTTATATCTATTTTGAACGTGTTACAAATATTCTTTATTTTCTTCGCATTTTACACTTGACCTTTCAATCCTTTTCTTTTTTTCCCCTCAAGGAGCCTTTGATTTTATTACATTACATAAAAAGTATATAATTAAAGAAGCATTTTTATGTAAAAATGTTCATTGTTCAAAAGAAAAAGAAAAATACGTATTCATAACATTTAGACGTATTTGTTTTATAGGTTTAGAGTCTTTATTTAAAATCAATTGAATCATCACTCAAAAAACTTGGTACAATGACATAATTATTATGCTTTTGAAAGTAAAATAATAAATTATAAAAGAACGAAGTTAACTTATAATCTGTATTCGCGTTTATAAAATGTGTACTTCATATTATGGGGAGATTAGGACATGTCATGTAGCCACTTCGTTACTAGATACGTGTCTAAGTTTTGATAGCCTGGGGAGAGGAATTGGTCTAAAAAGTAAAAACTCCTTTATCTCTCGAGCTTGAGCTCAACTCACAAAGACCTGATCTCGAGACGTGGATATTGTTAACAAACGATCCCTCGATCTTCGGTAAAAAAATTTGCTGGTTGTCAAATAGGGAGCATCAAAGTGACAGTATAATGCAACCATTCATGGGTCCATAATGACTACCTACCTTAGGAATTAGTAATTGATGGTTGTCTGTAAAATTAGTCGAGATGTATATAAACTGGTCGGGATACTTACGAATAAAAAAAAAAGTAAGACAGTATAGTCCTTCTCAAAATAGAGTCTCCAAATAATGCTAAATTAATTAACTTACATAAAATACTCTCCAAATATTCTTTATAAAGTTATCGAAATTCGAAATAATAATTACCATCGTCACCAAAATCAAATCAAAGTTTATCAATCTTAATCATTGTTTGTGTTAGCATCCAAAAACGATTAAAATAAACAACCAAAGTGATGATATCCAAGGATTAATTAGCTGGGGGAATATATGACAAAATATTTATAAATGCAGATTATGAAGCAGCATATAACAGAAATCAAATTGGGTCACATGCTTATATAGTTAAAATTCATCCACTAATATCTTAATTATTATATTTTAACTATATATGTGACATTAATTTCTAACTCTTATATAATATAACCAATTAATTAAATTCCTGTAGCTGCATGTGCATGAGAATCTCTACTGCGTCATATTTTCAATTTTATCTTTTTTCTTTTCACGCAGCATTTTAATTAACAATTAATTAGCTATGTTTAAGGGTTTGATCAAGCTAATTAATCAGAGGGGTATTTCTAGAGAGCAGTGTCTTTGGATCCAAGTAATATAGCATTGAATATGAGCAGGAGCCTTCTCGAAAATCCAAGAGATTGACCGAAAGGTAGAAAAATGAAGTTTTCCCATTAATAAATAAAATTCTTTTTTTAATTATATGCCTCGTTTATATAATTATTAATGAATAGATAAAATTACTTTGTTAACCTTCTCTTTAATTTATTTTTCTTTTCAACCTCTGATCCGTAAGGAGGAAATATTCTTTCTATGCCGGTTAAAATTATTTTAACTGTAATGTCTATTTCACTCTTGTACACTTTTAAAATCATATCGATTATCAATGAGAATTAAAAAAAAAATCTAATAAGTTATTTGTGGTTGGACTTTATAATAGAATCAAACTCGAAGATAAAATTAATATCGAGCTCCCTTTCTACGGGTTAAAAGAATGTGTTAATTATCTAATATAAATTTGTGTTTTTTAAAATTATAATGTAAAATTTTGCTCCTCCTTCCCTATCTCGGTGATGTATTCTTACATGATCAAATAAAATATGACGTCATAAAATATATTGCAACCTTTACATTAAACTTGAAAATGTAGTACACATTTTTTTCTTTTGATAAGTTTTAATGTAAATAATCATTAAAAAAATATAAAAAATCTCGTGTACATTTAATAAATTGTAAAAACATATGTAATGTGTTTTTAACTTGATTTTATTGAAATTAGTGAGTATTTTGAGAGACAAGTTAGCAAAAATAGATATAGAAGTTAAAAAGATACAACAATTATCTAAACCTAATATTTAATGTAAAAATTTAGACGAAACAAGTTCAAACCACATATGGACCACTTATCTTAAGAATTAATTTCTATGTATTTTTCAGCATCAAATATTATATTATAAGGTTAGATAGTTGTTCTGTGAGAGTCGAGGTATGTGTAAGTTGACCCGAACATCCATATATATAAAAAAAAAGACTATTATAATAATTAAGATAAAAATTATACAACTTTGTCTGTGGTAGTTTAAAATAACTTTTTTCCCCTTAAGAACAATAGTGACCAATGGCACGGAGTCCCAAATGGAGGGGAAGAGAGGACTGGGCAGCGGGCAAATTGTCTGTGCAGTTACCTCAGAGTGAGTGAATTTTGTGTTTATGTGTGTGTCTCAATTTCAATACTACAGAATCGTACACCCACGTCGATAAGTCCAAGGTTTAAAATATTAATTTCCATTTAATTTAAATATTACTCCTCTTCCATTTTTCTCTCTTATTTAAAAAAAATTAATAAAATTTTTAATTATAATTAACAAAACTAGGTGCTAACAGGTAGTCGTCTCTTAACCTTTTCGGTTTAGTTTTATTTGTTTATTCAATACTTAATACAATGATAACATATCAAACGCATAATTGATGCTCAAAAGTAAAATAAAATTAATTGATTAGGTTTGAAATTTGTGTCATTTGTAACTTTTTTTTTTAATTATTCCTAAAAATAGTTTTGATTGTTTATTGTAATGATATATACATTATATAATTTTAACTTATTAAGAAAAAAAGTATAATATCTCGTTTTAGAGGTTGGTTTACTTTGATTTGATAATTAGACACAAGTTAAAAACTATGTCGAATAATCGATTATTTTTAATTAATTCAAGTATATGTTACATAAAGTCAACATTTCTAGTGATATATACACTGAATAGACATACATTACATGTTCCAAATTTATCCACCATATATTTTTTTTTCTAAAGGGGATGATTTGACGGTCCTATTAATACTATTATATTTATCTAATATATATATATATATATATATATACATATATGTTAATTTTAAAATTTGAAGTGTGACTTGGACAAGCTAGGCATGGCGTGCGTCAAGTCCAACATTTTGATATTGGTTTTGCTTTGGGCTTTTTATAAAGATACTAATAGTAGTCAACTTTATTTCTCAAAATCATAATAAAAACATATATATATATCTTTTTATCATTCAATTAATAACTTCACGACACTTTTTACATCAAATTTTCATCTCATACGAATTAATCAAAACATATTTATCAATAAAAATCTTTTTAAACTTAAATACAAATCCTTATATATCGTTCAACAATTTTTTTTGAGCCAACGTATTAGATTTTTTTTATTTTTATAAATATTGGGTGTTTTAATTAATACAATCTCTAAGTTTATTTATTATTATTTTTTTTTTGGGATAAATGGGAGTTAGAGGTTTTTCTCCACTAGAAGCACCCGCACACCCCAAGACTTGAATTTGGGAGACATAAAATTTTGTTGGTATTATCGAACTTAAGACCTCTAAACCAAAATGACCAAGAGACCTCAAGCTCTTGCCAACTTGGCTATTCCTGGGAGCATAGATAATTAAATTTATAATTAAAAAAAAGCCACCAACGAGTGGTGTAGTGGGCTTCTGACTGAATGAGGATACCTCTCATTGTTTCAAACCCCACGAGGCACGTAATTTATCTGCATCTTTTTATGAGAAAGAATGGAGGATCAGACTCGAATCGAGTGAGCTCATTCGCTTTAGTCTTCTCTCGAAGATCTATGATTTAGTTGGGAGATTAATCCCACAACGTTTGGGTAGTGGTTTTCCAAATTATAGGGATCCAACCGACAACGCCACAAGCCATCCATTCAGGGTTAATAAAAGAATTAACAAAGAAAAAAAAAGGAAAAAAAATATAAATATATCACAATGACGTCCTACTAAATTGAACCCTACCAACCTCACACTCTCACTACCCCCATTGTCTCTCTCTCTGTCTAAAACTGAAGCTAGCTCTGGATCTCCATTTTTGGGACACATAAATCTAGAGAAACTTTTGATTTTTTGGAGCTTAATTTTAGAGATCAAAACGACCCATTAATTCTCCGCCCATTACATGGAAGAAAAATGGAAGCTTTCCAAGAAGGAAGCCGCCGCCGCCGCCGCCGCCGCAGCGTCCAGTAGCCACCACCACCACCATTATTCTCGTTCTAATTCCTCCAAATCCAGCAGCAGCAGTTTCTTCTCCAGAAGCGCTTCCACCAGAAGCACTTCCTCCAAATTGCCACTTCTAAGAAGCCTGTCCCACAAGCACTCGGCCAGTACCTCCGCCGCCGCCGCCGCCAAGTCCCCCACCTCCGATCTCCGCCGTAGCTCCTCCCAAAAAAACTCCTCCATTGGCCACAAATGCAGCAGCTTGGCCAAGGAGCAGAAGGCCAGATTCTACATCATGCGCCGCTGCGTCGCCATGCTCGTTTGCTGGCATAAACATGGCGATCCTTAGCAAACAACAAAAAAAAAACACCAAATTTATTTCATTTATTCTTCAGTTACTCAAAATTTTCATGCCGGATCTTCCAAACTCAGGGTAATTATTCCTTTCCTTTTTTTTCCCCTTCTTTTTTTCCTTTTTCTTTCCCAATCTCAGACAAATGGAAAAGAACATGTACGGATTCCAGAAAATTCCACCCCCTACCCCTTTTTCCTTTTTCCTTTCCTAATTTTTCCCTTTTTTTCATTGGTTAGATTCAAATGTAAATTAACTTTAGAGGGTTAAAGTCGATCCAGCTACAAATTTTCCCAATACCCTGTAATAATTAGAGAGAATCACATTATTGATTTTAATTTTCCAATACACCCATATATTTTCTTTTCTTTCAATATATATTTAGAGAGTAAAAAAAGGCCCCTTTAATATAGAGAGAGGGAATGGAGAAGAATTCTACATTATTATTCATTTGTTGTCTGTCAATGTCATCTCGGTAGCTTAGCTCCTATAGAAATTATTAATGATGAACTCAATTATTTATATATATGTGATGTATTAATTATGTGGTATTTAGCTACTATAGTGTTTCTCCTTTTTGTGCTTGGTTTTTCCCATCTGTTTTGATAAGAAGATTCTCTTTATGGGTGTTGTGGGGATGGTGCCAAAAATTGTACATTAGTGGAGGATGTGAAAGCAATATGTGCGTATTTGTGTATAGATTTGCTTTGAAAATTTTGGTGGACTCACTTTCAGTTTTCCCCCCTCTCCCCCTTTTGGTAGAAAATAACACTGCCAAAAAGGCCAAACTTGACACCCAAAATTCACCCCCCTTAATCACAATTTTTCATATATAACCATCCTTCTCGGGTTCTCTGAGTTCTTGTTGATCGCTACTAAATTTTTGACTCGTGTTTGTTTTTCTAGAAAAATAAAATGTCTTTAATCTTGTTATAATCTTGCTGCCCTTTTCATCTATTGTTTGTCATCAATTTAGGAGTGAGCCGTAGGAATTCTTGTTGCCCAGTAAGAAAAAGGTGTTATGTTGTTATTCCAATTGTCATTACACAAGAAATTGGAGTTTTCATGATGCACAAAATCGTAGCTATAGTTTAATATTTCGTGGGCAAAATGCATTAGTGATGCCTTTTTTTTGTTGTCTTGCAAAGTTTATCAGCATATCCTATCGCGGTAGGGTCTTTATTGACGAATTTTAGATGTCGTCGAGAAAATTTGGCAACCAATTGAGATTTCGTTGAGTAATTTCGCAATAGTTTCTAAGATATTATAATTTTTCATGTATATGCTTTAAACACAATAAAAATTCAAAATTGGAGTTTAGTACATGTAAGGCTAAAAGTATTGGGCAATTGAATTGCTCTTTTATTCATGATTTCCCTCAAAAAGGGAACTCAATTACAAGTTTCTTCTGGTGAATGGTGGATAATATAACCCAGAAGTGTCCAACCACACAAATACGAAACAAAATTCTGTTTTTATTTTTTTATTTTTTGGTCCTCATTTTATGGCTTTTATGTGGGGTTTCAGTTGGCTGTTTATGCTGCTCTTTTGGAGACGACCCAGATTCCAAAACTGCAAGAAAAAAGTTCACACACACACACAATATATAAATATATATATTTATTTATTTATGCATGCAAAAATTAGTAATTAAAGTACGAGTGTGGAGGAGAAAAAAAGAAACCCCGGCGAAGGTTTAACATTTGGGAAGATCGGACGGTGGCGGTGGAAGTTTCTGGCTGGGGAGCTCCCCGTCTAGGACGATCCAAGCCACTCGTAAGCCCCAGCTGAGGTGGACGTCGAGGTGGCAGTGCATCAGCCAAACACCTGTGTTTTAGGTCCACAAAAATCAAACCCCATCCTATAATCTCTCACTCAACATTCTCAATTACTGTAGGACGACGCCATAATAAGGCAGGCAATTTACCGTATTAGATTGATGGGAAAAACTAAAAAACAAATTTAATTATAAACATACAGTCTCATTCAATAATTTTCTTTAATTTTTAATTCGAGACGGAACAAAGAATAAAGAGGAGGCCATTTTCTTTAATTTTAGCTCATTTTAGTACTCTAAGTTATGTCTATTTATTCATTTAATTGGATTATAAACTTTCTTAATAAATCTCTATTTGGTAATTAATAAAGTTTCAATTATAAAGTTAGACGCCAAACTTATATAACTTAAATTATATGTTAGAAAAATAAAGATTTTAAATTTTATTCTCAATATTGACCAAAATATCATTTTTTTGGTTTACCAATATTGACCGGATTTCATTTAATGCTCGTTTGAACTTTAATATCATACAATAATATTTTTGAAGTCTAAAAATCAATATATTCATGGAAGTCTAAAAATCAATATATTCATGGAAGAGTAGCTCACTTATATTATAAATATAATATAATATTTTGTAATAAGACCTGCGTGCTCCTTCTATATTGTTGAAAATTTGACATCTCATTGTAAAAAAGTGGTTTATATTTTTGTATTTGTCTTTTTAATTATCAATTTTTCATCCAGCAAACTATTTTTGCTTCCAAATTTAGTTTTATTAGAATCTAGAACTGTCTCACTCTCGGTATATGAAAATTCCTAAAACCCAAAAACTCACCGGGATTATCAGCAAGGAAACGAATGGCGACCCATCCACCAGACGGCACGCTAACGGTGTTCCTCTCCACAGGATCCACAAGATTATAATTCCCAGGATCTTTCTCCGGATCGAAGTTCCCAAATCCTTCCCCCACCACGTAGAAATTGAACCCATGGAGATGAACCGGGTGGCTCTCCGCCCCCAAAACACTCGTGCCCTGCAGAACCACCTCCACCCTCGCGTTAAACTCCACCACCACCGCCCTCCTCCCCTTTTCCTCCGCCGTGTTGTTCGGCGGCGCGCCGGTGTAGTTCCACTCCCGGCCCGGGACCCTCGGAAAGTCCGCCGTGTACACGCCGTTAGACCGGCCGAAGAAATAGGCCTGGAGGAGGGCCGTGGAGGGGAGGTCCGAAAACGAGACGTTGTTGACGGCGGCGGCGAATTTGGAGCCGTTGGGGCCCTGGCAGGTCCGATGCTTGGGGCAAGGGCTGCTCCCCAACCCAATGGTGAAGAAGAAATGTTCGTCAATGGATTGTGAGACGTTGGGCGGGAACTTGCTCCGGAGTTTGCGGGAGAAATTGGTGGTTGCTGACGTGGCGTTGATGGCCGGGAGGATCGGGTGGAGGAGGCGGCGGCGGGGATTTGAGTGGTGGTATTGGAGGATTCCGGCGACGGTGGAGTTGTCGATGGGGGCTTGGCCGGTGAAGTAGGGGCGGGCTAGGATGAAGAAGGCGGCGTTTGGGGCGGTGGGTTTGGTGTGGAGTAGGACGTTGGTGGTTTGGCCGGGGGAGATTACGAGGACGTCGACGGAGAAGGGCTTTACGTAGACGGCGTCGGCTTCGACGACGGTGACGGAGTGGTTGGCTATGGAGAAGAACAGCTCGTCATTGAGTGCAGCGTTGATCAGACGGAGAAGGTAGGTTTTTCCTGGCTTCACCTTTAGTCTAAAAGTATCTGTAAAAAAACACACTTAATAACACAGATACAACAGAAAACGAGAACAAATAAAAATGCTATGAGTTTTGTTCTTTGTTTTAGAAACAACTATGGTTTCAAAAGTTTCATTACTACTTTTACAAATATTCTTTGAGGGAACTCTGTTAACATTCATTTCATCTTTTTTCAGACTTGATTTTACCCTAAAAACTCTTATTACTTTATTACTTCATTGTCAACCGAGCTTGCTTTTTCATTGTTATTACTCAATTCTATCCTTACTAATCCCTTTTCAAACACAATAGCTTCTTCTATATTTTCATAGACTTAATCTAAAACAAACTTCAAATGTTAATTGCTATGTTAACCTTACCTTCAAAATATTAAGGGGTGGTTGCTTAAATGGTATTTTCAAAACTTTTATAAAAGTTCGGGGTAGTATTGAAATTGTATTAACAACGAATTATATAATATCTACCATTGTTGGAGCAATTATAGAATGGCCCAGGAAGTCCATTGATTGTATAGGAATCAGAAACATTTGGGCCATTTCCAGTCCGAAGAGCTTCGCTAATCACAGCTTCCGGGTCAGCGTTCCACCACTCCCCTGCCCATAAATACAGAATCAGACCAATAATCATTCAATTGGTATCAGAAAAAGGCACTTTTTTTTTTTTTTCCTTTTTGGGTTCATTTTTATGAATTGGAAATTATTTCATATTTTGCGTTAATTATTAGTATTACCCAAAAGAATTGGAATCTCTCTGTAAGGTTCGGGAAAAGGGTAAGAAGCATTGCGTTGAGGAAGTATAATGAGAGGGCCATAGACTGTGGCTCGAAGCCATGAAATGTGAGCATGCCAAAACAGAGTTCCTCTCTGCCCCACAATGCTGAAGTTGTACACGTAACTCTGCCCGCTCCGAATCGGGCACTGTGTAATATACGACGGCCCATCCGCCCACCCGCTCTGCAGTTGTCGCACACCGTGCCTAAACAACCATCAAACACGATTCCAAAGAAAAATAATTGTTGTGTGAGGAGTGAAGCAAGTCGGTCTAATATCATATCATTATAAAAATATGGAGAGATCGAGTCTTGAGGTAATTGGTTTATTCTCACCAGTGAATGGAGATGTTATTAGAAATATGATTGACCACCTCAATAACCAGCCTGTCGCCTTCTCTAGCGACAACACGAGGCCCTGGGAACTTCCCGTTCACTGTCACCAAGCTCTTCCTATGGCACAATCGAGTCACGTTCGCCATTTTTATCTGTCGCGTTACCACGCGTTGCATGCAAAAACAAAAAACAAGTAAGTAATATACATCCCAATTTCGGTGTGGAGTGTAGAAAAAAGATCGGGCAATTATCCCCTTAGTTTTTTTTAGTAGCTAATTAACGTTGAGCTATGTTCACTTTGACATCCCCTGATTTGTTATGGATTAAAAATTTTTAGATGAAAATAAATCAAGTTAAATTACAAATTTGGTCCATGCAGTTAGTTTTGATTTTTGGTCATGGTAGTTTTACAAGTTTTAGTCTTTATGAGTTTTGGGTTTAATTTCAATTTGATTCCTGTAATTTGTTTCAAAAGTTCTATTTTGGTTCTTGAAATTTGATTCTACCTGATTACAAATGGTGAACGAACTGTCTTTGCCCATATGAAAAACTCATATATGTATTTTCTCTCCTTTTTTTTTACTTTAACCCTAATTAAGCCTTAATACAACCAATTAATTACACACAATTAACTAAATAAAAAACGACTGCAGCCCATTGCACGTAAAAAAAAGTGTTAGTATGACAATAGTATGGATAGTTTGTGAATTTTTAAAGACGGAATCGAAATTAATTCTAAATCATAGAGACTAAATAATTTATAATTTTTTCTAGAAATATTATATATACAAATGTTAGAACGTAAAATTTTGTCCATATTTTAACCACTAGCTCCTCACCTCAAACTTGTAGTACCTTGTCGTTGCTCCTGAGACGGGGTTCGGAGTTGGGGAAGCATCAACGAGAAACGAACACAAAGAGCTCAAGAATATTACACATAAAATTAGTAGCATCAGAATAAGGGGTGGTGATGGAGGAAGAAGATGAGAAGCCATTTGTGAGTTTCTTCTTCTATTTTTTTTAAGGCGCTCTCTTGATTTTTGGTGGAAATGAAGATATAAATAAATTTTTGGCTATGGTAGTTCTTATATTCTTTTGTTTGGCTGATTAGGTAAAAATTAGAAGTTTCCATGTGAAGTTGATAGTCGATCATTAGCAGCTGCTCAAGTTAGGGTTTTGTTTTGTGTTTTTATCAATCTTTTTAATTTCACTGTTTTGAGTGTTATTAAAGTTATTTAACACTTTAATTCTTCTTTAATCTTTTACTTAATTACACAAACTCCACCTTTCTCTCTTTATCATTACGAAGGTTTTACTATACGAACATAGAAAATTAATATCCGTCTAATAACCATTTTTGGTTTTCTTTCTTTGAAAGTTAAATTTGTAAATATTACTTTCATCTAGGCTCAAACTAGCAAGTCTAAAAATAATATGATAAACTTTTTATTTGGATTGTTTTATTTTTCAATTTTCTTTCTGGAAATATATTCGTTTGATATTTATTTTTTATTATTTTTTTGTATATATAATTTTTTTAAAATATATTCTCAAAATTATAATAATTTTAGAATTCTAATTTATAGTTTATTTATTTATTTAATGTTTTCTAACGTTTTTTGAACATATATGAATAAACATCTCACTTAATCATTTTTTAAAACTAATAATATGCCTAATGAATATTTTTCAAAAATTTAATGTGAGGTAAAACTTGCCTCCTCCACCACAGGAGTCACCTCTATTTACTTTACGACCTGGTCTATTTTTAATGGTTTATATTCATATTATACTTTGTAAACAATGAGATTTTTTTTAAAACTTTAACGATCCACATAAAAATGAAATCCCACCGTAAGGAATCATATGTTGCAAAAAAAACACATAGGAAATTAGTTCATGGTAAGTAACTATCGTGGTGTTCGAACTCATTCTCCATATTTAATTTACCTTTGTCCTTTTGGACCAATGAACCACCCATGATGGTTGAGAATACACATGATGTGGTGTTAGCCCAACACATTGATACTTAAACATAAGGTTGTGTTAAGCAAGAATTAGGATTTTGTAGCGTATGTTAGATTTAATGAGACTTCTCTATCTATAGAGAGGACAATCTAATATCGTTTGGATATTCTCATTTCACGAAGTTCCTAAATCCAAGAAGGCTAGTCTCATGGATCGAAACTCGAAAGGACTCGACCTATGTTGGGCTACTTAACCTTTGAGTGGCTCCTCTGCTTGGCCAATGAGCTTGTGCCCACAGACTTGACTCATAGTGACAACTGATCACAAATTTGACTCTAGAGATTTGTGTCAAATGGCTTGACCTTTAGATCATTCCTAAGCCTAAAGGCATTGGGTGATCTAGGTCGGCCTACTAATCTAGGGTAGATTAGGATTTTATTTTACCCATACCAAAACTCTTTTTTCCCACTTAAAAATTAATACAATATGAGAAACAATAATCAACGAAACGAAGAAGCATGTGCCTTAAATATTAAAATTTCAAAATTTCCATAGTCTTATTGAGCTAAATATAGAGAGAGTGTGTAAGAGCCAATCCAAACTTCCAACCATCAAAAACCAACTTAACGATTAAGAAAGCAAGCATTTTTCTTTGAAACAAAAAATGTCACCATCTTCCAACAATACCCCCATAAATTCATCTTTTTAAGTCTTTTTTTTTTTTTAAGTTAAAAAAAGACTGGGTCATATTTGGTTGGTGAATTAAAATCATTCCTCACCAACCAAACACTGCCTTAGGATTTCAAAGCCCATTTAATGAGAGGAGGACATTCAACCCAACTTTAATCTTGTAAGCCAAGAACAACAAAATTGAATACTTTTATCTGATTAAAAATTTAATGCTATGCTACCAAAAAGGCTTTGATCTACTCCTTGTGTGGCTCAAGTTTTATACCCAAAAGTATATACTATCTATCTCAAGCCTTCTTCGATGTCAACTATAAGATTTCGTTGCAATAAATTAGTCATATTTTTATTGACTCGAGCGTCGAGGATATCTTGCATTGACTGAAAAAGAGGCAAAATGGGAAGAAAGAAAAACGTCTCTGTTATTATATTTAATGACTTCAAAAAGACTTCAAGCTTAAAAATCGTTTGATTACTATTTGGGAAAAAAAAAGATTAGAATTGTAATTTTTTCTACCACATGCTTATGAATAGTGATTTGAAATATATAGTAATATCATATTTTAAAAAGAAATCAATCGATGTTTACGTTTAATTCTCTATTCAAACATGTATTTGAGGGGTATGATGGACGGTTCCAAAGTGGGCTTGTCAAATAAAAAAGGTTACCAACATTTTGTGATCCTTATTATATATAACATATACTCAATAAACTTTTCTGAGATTGAAAAAATGGTAGGGAGATTCGAGACTCCGACCTTGAAGGAGATAAGCGATCTCTTAACTAGTTGAGCACTAGGGATCATATAACAAGTCAATGAATAAATGAGGCTAGTTATCCTTATCTTATAACATGTTTCCTATATTATATATATTAAAACTATTGAGTTTAACTTAATCTGTCGATTTAAGCATTTAGACATATCAATTATTATCAACTGAGCATATCTAAGCAGATAAGTTACCTATTACTATCTTAAAGTCGATGATTCAAGCTCCTACTCCACCATCGAGAAACTGAAAATATATACATATAACAATCATTTAATATAGTAAGACAGGTTCTAACCATGTGTTTCATTAGAAATTTGGATAAAAATTCAAATATTTATTTAAAAATAGTAAAGAAATTGTGAGGAATAAGCATAATTTTTAAGAACAGAAAATCCATCCCTATCAAAGGGAGGTTCAATCTTCCTAATATGTCTATTAACTCAAATTTTAGAATCGTTACGGATGATTTACGTAGCTATCAAAACAGAAAATTTTTTCTAAGTTCAAAGTAGCGTCAATATCCGAGCTCACACGTGAGGGAGAATTAAAAAAAAAAAGGAAAAGAAAAACGTGTAGATGTAGCTTTCAAACCAGACTGGAGCCTATCAGAATCCTTGCAATTAGCAGCACAGCAACAGCAAGTAAACAACCAAATTCCCATAGGCTGTGGAGATATTGGGTGTGGGTGGGGAAGACCTTAACAATAACAATTAACAACAATGCTTCTGCTTCAAAAACACACACTTGCCCACACCTCTCATAATTCCACATGCCAACTTCAATTATTGCCCAACAACAGCCACAGCCCCCTCCCGGTCTGTTTGCTAATATCGTTCACGGATGGAGAAGATTCATGGTATATAAGTAAAAACAATTCTATGCTTATGTCGCTTCTTTGAGTAAAACGAGTAAGATTTATGACATATGAGTAAAAATAATTCTATCCGTAGGTTGCTTCTGTAAGTAGAAAGATGAATATTTATAGTATATAAGTAAAAATAACTTTATCCGTATGGAGCTTCTATGAGTAGAATTTCAAGCGAGTTTAGACTCGAAGCGAACAATATTGTATGACTCTTAAAATAACTTCAAATTGAGCTTCTAGTGAGGTTAAATGTGGAGGGAGCAAAATGATCAAGTACCTTCTATTGCTATGAAACTATGAACAAGTCCATTGTTTTTGGGTATAATCCAGAAACCCAAAAGTTGCTTCAAATTGACATTGCTGTGAAGTTATATATGTGAAGAAGAAGAAGTAAATTACTTGTGGTACATGAGCTTAGCAAACGGTTAACGTATCTTGCTCCTTCTCCTAGAGATCGGATCTTCAATTTCCTCTCAACATTTGTTGTTGTACTAAAGAAAAGTGTGGGTAGAGTCCAATTAGACCTAAAATGGCTACAAATTGGAATTCTAAGGAGCTATAGGTGAAGGAGGAAGATGATGGGATCTAGTTTCAGAAACTGAGAAAGCTCCGAAGATGACAAAAATAAGGCATTCATTGTTTTGCCAAGTCAAAAGAGGTTGTATTTACATATAATTCTAAATTGATTGTAAAGGGTATTGTTCAATAAATTTAATGAACAGATCAAAAACAAAAGAATAGAATACAACACAAAGTAATTGTATTTGTTGGAATGGGAAAATCACCAGCGGCCATTTTCACTCTGATTCTCCACTACCCAAGCTCTGTTTTGCCTTCTCAGGTATCTGCCAAACACTGAACTCGAATGGCTATGGCTATGGCTTCTACTCACAGACTCGGATTCATTTGAAGCCGAGGAAGAAGACGAATTCCCCGATCTCAATCTCCCAAAAAACGAAAAAATGTTGCGAAATGTCCGCCCAATCCCACGGCTCTCTCTTCC